AGGTGTCCTTGTTAAGTTTATGGACAAAATCACACAGTGGATTTTAAAATTTACCAGAGGTTATTCAAGTTTTTCTAATTCAACTAAATTTTGGAATACTCCAAGAACTTAAATATAAAATTTTCAGAGTACCTTCTCACAACAGATATGTTTCAAAATGGCTCCCATTGCATTTGCACTGGGCATTCAATTACATTCAATACATTTGCCAGCAAAAAGGTTTTCAAGTCACCTGCTAAATTACAATCTTTTCAATGTATCATCTAGAATAAAGCTTATGTAATGCTAATATCAGTTGTTTCCTTATAACAAACATTTGGTATTTGCTGATTAAACAGACAATGCCGCTGTTGGCTGAAATTTAAAAAATCTTTCTATTAAAACAACTTTTCAGGAAAATAGGTTTCTCAAGTACTGTAGCTGTTATAATTCTTTCCAGTATTGATGAGGCTTTCCTTCCTAACCTTTTGTTTGAAATTGTGTGAAAAGTTAATATCTTGATTATGTCATTAGAAAATAGGTTTTGTCAAGTTCAGTAGCTGTTATTGCTCTTTCCAGTATTGATAGAGGGTTCCCTTCCTAAAATTTTATTTTGAAATAGCGTGGAACGTCATTATCTTGATTATGTCATTATTTTCTGTTTGAGTTACATATGCTATCCATTTTAGTTGTTGCCACTGTTGAAAATACCTAAATGATGTGGTTTATTTTATTTTGTACAGTTCCTTCTGATCCTCTAGTGCCATTCTACAAGGTTTGAAGAAGGATGGCCCTTACTAGCTACAAGCCTACAAGCTTCCTTCTCTAAGACCAATTTATTAACCATTGATCTGAGAAAGTGGTTATATATTGATGACAGTTTAGATATTTCTGAAGGAGTTTGTCACTGTAAAGTGTGACAAGTACGTCCGGTACTGTCTGTCAATAAAGAACACCGGCCACGTTCACCGGTCCACTTTATATATTATGCCAAGGGCAGGTAACTCTGTCTCAGCTTGTTTTGCAGGAGCAGATAACTCTGTTTTCATCTACACAGTCACGATGCATGGAAACCATATGAAAGTCTTGATTCGACCGTAGAGTATTATGGCTGGGGACATGTCTAGGTCCTGGACGGGAGTGTTGCGATGGGTCAGCAGCGCCCGGGCAACTTTATCCTGGCATAGGTGTCTGCTGTTGTCTGTGTTGTCAAACAGTATCCATCTTGCTGTTTTCACCGCTAACTCTGCGCGCCCATTGCTTTGGGAATAATAGGCTGACGACGTGTGTTTTCGTATACCCCAGTATTTTTAGAAAGGTGTTGTATTTCTGGGATTCGAATGGAGGTCCTCCGTCTGAGGATATTTCTTTAGGTCCACCATATGTGCAAAACCAGGTCCTCATTGTATCGCACATGTTTTTGGCCTTTCCTGACGACATTAGGGCCACCTCTACCCATCCTGTATACCGGTCTGCGTACACCATGTAGCTTTTGCCCTGTACGTCTGCGAAGTCCACCACGACTTGCTGAAAAGGAAACTCCGGGTCTGCAGGTGTCATTAAGGGCTCCTTTGGCTGAGACGGCGCGATTGTGTTGCAGGTGTGACATTGAGACCTGGTCTGCCTGATACTGGCGTCTAAACCTGGCCAGAACAATCACTGTCTAGCCTTCGGCAGCATGCCGTTTACGCCTTGATGCGCGGCATGGAGCGATTACAGTACCTCTGCTCGAAGTTGTCGAGGTATTAGAATTTTGTTGGCCTTTACTGTCACTCCTTCCAAACAGTATAACTCCTCGCGCATAGGCCAAAAAAACCGAGCTATGGGTGGGATGTCGTTGCGTGATTTGGGGAAACCATCTTGAAATACTTTTGCTATGGTCCGGCATTCCTCATCAATGGCCGCTGCAGCGACAATCCTCTCCCATGTGATAGCCTTTAGCTTGGGGTTGCTATCGTACATTGATGTGAAGGCGGCCTTGACTGCGGTGTCGATAGTTTGGGCTGGGCTTTCGCATGGTGTACCTGCTGGATGTCGGGAGGTGCAGTCAGGTGCCAAATTCACGACATGAAAGTCTTGATTCGACCGTAGAGTATTATGGCTGGGGACATGTCTAGGTCCTGGACGAGAGTGTTGCGATGGGGTTTTTCTTAAATGAGGGCAACTTTATCCTGGCATAGGTGTCCACTGTTGTCTGTGTTGTCAAACAGTATCCGTCTTGCTGTTTTCACCGCTAACTCTGCGCGCCCATTGCTTTGGGGCCCAGCAATATCTGTATCGGCCCTACTCAGTGATGAATGTGGTAGCATTTTGTGCGGCTGGAGACAACGGTAGACTGTTGTATCCGTTCCACGCATCGAGGACCGTTTTTCTCGTGTGTTCTGGTATCCTGGATACCTGGTCAAATGGGGATGATGTGTGGTGTGTTTCCCTCCTGGTCACCTTATTCAGCTTTTGTAAATCTACTGTGCACCTTGGGGATCCGTCCTTTTTCGGTGAAACCACCATCCCTAACACCAGGTAGTTGGAGTGTCTACTGGCACTGGTTCTATTATGCCAAGGGCGACATCCTTGTCCAGCCCCTCTTTCACTTTCTTCTTCCAATGGTGTGGGACAGGTATCAGCGTATGAACTGCCGTCGGCTTTGCACCCGGGATGAAGTCGATGTCCAATGGTTTGCCCTCCATTGCTTGCAGTGGTTGATGTGGGCATGTGTTAAATGCGCTGGACTTGATGTATTCCAGTAGCCACTGTTGCATTTTGTTTCTTTTGGCTTGGATGGGTTCGAATGGAATTCTTCTGAGCTTTGTTGGGACGGGCGCTCTGCGAGGGCATCCACACGGGGCTATTTCCTTCACCCTTAGTGACGAGTTGCTCCATGACAATGATGTCGGGAAATTGGACGGTAGTAGGTCTAAGTCCTTTAACGCTGTTTGCGATAGGTAGAAACCAGCTGTGTTGTCTGACACATACACAGCCTGCCGTATTTCCTTTGTCCCCACCTTTATGCATAAAAATAATACACCTTTGACTTGCAGTCAGTCGTTGGTAATGCATCGTATCCGGTGGGAGGTTTATACTAGATATCCATCTGGATACCCGAGAAGCTTCTGGATCTCAGGTCCAGCTGAACAGGTCTGTGCCCTGGTATCCACTACCCGCATGCTGCCGTGCTTGTTGATTCGGCGGGTAAATTGATCTCTCAGAGTACCACTGGTAAACATAAACAAGTCGTCGCTTTTCGACGTTCCACTCGTTGCCTCTGCTTTGGATTCCGCGAGCTTTCTTCATATGCCCCATTATCCCACAAAACTGGCATTTCATTTTGACCGCCGGACAATCCTTCCGGTTCATTGACCCTCCAGGGTACAAAGTCCTTCCACATCTGCTGCATGGTTTCTTGCATCGTAGATTCGAAGGGGTTTCAGTCTCCTGGAGCGGCTGTTCCTGGTCAGACCTTTGCATGTTGAATGATGCAAGAGGGCGTGTGGTGTTGTGAAAGTGGGGTGCAGATTTATCTGTTGTCTCGAGGCAAACTAAACGATTGAACTTCCGGTCCAAATAACGAGCGAGGCTGCCTCCGCCAATATTTTATTTTGGTGGTCTAAATTGGCGAGCCTGGCTATCATCTGTCCGGCAACCATATCTTCTGAATAATCCACTTTTTGCCTGCAAGTTTGCTCATTTGGGCATTGAACTTTAAACTCGCAAAATTTTGCTTGGCCACGTAGTCTAGATAGAAAGTGTGTTATGGACTCATCCTCGTTCTGTGTCATGGAGTGGAACTTCTGACGGTGAACTTCTTTATGTAATCCTTTCACTGTGATAAGTCATATCTGTTGTAATAGAAACTCCTCTGAAGCAGAGTTGAGCCTTGTAGGACCTATCAGCTCAAATAATAGATGATTTGTTTCTGGTGTACACGTTGCCCGTAATTCGTTCCGGACTACGACTAGGTCCTCCAATCTGCACATCTCCTTGTATCGGGTCCAGGTGTCCAAAAACAACGCCCATTCTCCTTTCATTATATCCAGCCCTATCGAGGGTCGTTCTGGTTTCATAACCTGCGGAATGTTGGTGTGTCCACGAATCATTTCTTTTCTGAGCTCGATATTTTCCTTCTGTAGCTACACAAGTTGACTCATTAAATTCAAATATTCCTGCACCATGGTGCTTGGAACTGGGTAAGCCCAGTGTCAATTTTAGTTTGGTAAAAATCTACGTGTTGCAAAACAATCCTGTTCACAGCGCCATGTGAAGTGTGACAAGTACGTCCGGTACTGTCTGTCAATAAAGAACACCGACCACGTTCACCGGTCCACTTTATATATTATGCCAAGGGCAGGTAACTCTGTCTCAGCTTGTTTCGCAGGGGCAGATAACTGTTTTCATCTACACAGTCACCATGCATGGAAACCATATGAAAGTCATGATTTGACGAGGCTATTTGAGAAAATGACTCAAGTTTGTAGATTAAAGTTTTGGTTTTGTGGCCATTTGAGGTGTTGTTAATAAAAATCAGTTACCGCTTATCTTTTTGAAAACAATTTTTTCTTATTACTCTTCAGAAATTCAGTTTCCCATATTCAAAATTTTAGAATACCATTCCAATCACACCATTCCACATTTTAAAACAACATATCAATCATACCATTCCACATTTTAAAATAACATCCCAATGTCATTCTACACTTTAAAATAACATCCTAATCATACCATTGCACATTTTAGAATACAATGCTAGTCATGCCATTCCACATTTGAAAATACCATGCCAATCATATCACTCCACATTTTTAAATAACTTCCCAATATTACCATTCCACATTTTAGAATGCCAATCACACCATTCCACATTTTAGAATGCCAACCACACCATTCCACATTTTAGAATACCATCCCAATCACACCATCCACAGAAATGAGACTTATATTCTAACCAGAGGATGAAACATAATTTTGATTGTGTTATTATTTATTCATAGCAATAAACAATATTTTAAATTTCTTCAAAGACATACCATCAGTTCCCAAGGGGAGATCATCCTCTCCAGAGGCAACCATACTGGATGCCTGGTTAAGGATGTCTGCTGTCTCTTCTGGTAGAGTTTCTGGCTCTTGTAACTCTGCCAACAATGGTTCCCTATCTGCCTTTCTCTCACTGGATAAAAATAAAAAAGAATTAATTAATAATCAGTTTAATTAAATATGGATGAATTGCAATATAAAAGATACAAAAATGTCAAGATTTTTTTGATTGGCCAACAGATTGATGTTTAGAGAAAAAAGCATTAAATAATCAAAACTAATTTTTTTTTAATTATGAGGATATGTAGGATAAATAAAGGTTGACCTTTGGCTTGAAATTAAGATCAGGGAAGCATCCATCTATCGTGAATAAAGATAAATCTTATCTTAACCCACATGTTTCATCCTCAGATGGATCTTAACAAGGCAAATATATGGAATTTTATTTTATAAGAATTATTTATAAACAGTATGTTGCTAATTCTTCAAAATTTTTATAATTAAGAATGCTTATCAATATACTTGAGGCTCACAGAAAGTCATGGTAAACTATGGAGGATGCTAAGTGATATAATTTCATGTCTAATAAATGAAAGTAAGTAAATGTTATTGTGTTTGTTTTTTTTATAATGTAATTATTTATATTACTTTAGTTTAAGAAAAATTAAGTTATGTGTTATATATTTTAAATAATAGGTTTTGAATTTAACTACTTTCTCTTAATTTTTATAGTCATGAATTTTGGCTAATGTACATAACTATAAAAATTTTATTATTCAACTGAAGTTCTACTCATTACATTGCAAATATTAGAATATGTACTTAGGAAGCAAGAGTTCTTTTATATAAGTTTTGTTAAATTCCACTGACAAGGTCTATCTATTCAACTTTTTATTATATCTTTCCAATTTTGAAATTGAAGAAAAGCAAGAAGAAAAGACTAAACATCAATTACAAATAGACAGAATGCATGGTAGTCAAGTAAAAGAAACAACCCAACAAGTAAATTACAAATTGGAGATGTCAAAATCAAGCAAGTACAACAATTTAAATATGTGGGAAGTATTTTATTAGAGGATGTAAAGTGCAACATGGAAATCCAAAGGTGCATTGGGATAGGGAAAGGCACATTGCAAAAGCTAAGCAAAGTATTAACAGGAAAATCAGTCCTCCTATATGGCAGTGAATGCCAGGCAATCACCTCACAGATGAAGAGACTTGAAGCAACAGCAAGGCTGAGAATACCATGGACTGAATGATGAAGTTGTAGAGAAAATGGAAATGAAAAGAACACATACTTAACATCAGAAACAGAAAGTTGATATTTCTAAGGCACATAATGAGGAAAAAAGGTTTGCAAAATTTGACACTCACAGGACATATTGACAGTAAGAAAAACAAAGAAAAACAGTGCATAACTCAGTAACGATCTTGCTTAAATGGATGGCAGAACAATTTTGGAGAGATAGCAAAAAAAAAAAAAAAAAAAAAATAGTAATTTTTTTTTTTTTTTTGCTATATCTCCAAAATTGCTACAAAGGACAGGATATTGTGGAGCGTCATGATCACCAATGTCCTGAAGGGACATGGCACACAAAAGAAAAATAAACCCCTGCCCAAATTCAAAGATACCAAAGGAATAATACTAAGTCACAAGTCACCATGACTGAGGATTTGAGTATACAAGCTTTGTTCAACTACTGATCACATCATAGTACAATTGGCATAGTTGCTGTATAAACTACAGTAAGTAAAACAAATTTCAGATATCTGTCTATATTTCTGAGATGAGGTATTATCTACATTATTTACATTATTTGGACTATTGTCCTCATCTTTGTCGCCATATTTATCACAACGTTTGTCCTCAAGGACACATGGCACAGTGGATAAAGGTGTTGGTTAGATCCAGTGACAGGACCCAAAAAGTGTGAGTTCAATACCTGGTTAAGGCAGTGGAGAACTTTCAGAGGGAAATTAACAGGAGATAAGTGATATCCATTAAAAACATGGCATGTGGAACTAGAACAGTCTACCCCAGTGATCGAAATAAAGGGTTCAGTTCAACATTCCAACCACCTGAAGAAGGCCGGAGCGTACAACGGCCGAAACGTTGTGATAAATATGGCGACAAAGATGAGGGTGATAGTTCGAATAATGTAAATAAATTTCAGATAATTTGGTAAGAAGTCAGGGATCAATTTTTTGTTTAATCATTTCACCCCAAGTAAGGCAATAAAGTCACTAGGATACAAGAAGTTACTAAGTGTTAAAGAATATGAGAAAAAACTACTACTAAAAGAATAAGAATTAAGAAGACCGAAGATAACAATTGGTATTGTATTTAAATCTTTGAAAATCAAAGTTGACTGGGAAGCAAGAAATCAGAAGAAAGTTCCATATGTGAAAAGCGTGATAAAAGAAACTGTTAACATAGAACTTACAGTTAACCATTTCAACTTTAAAATGATGAGACCTTGCTGCTAATTTTGTACTGCACTTAAATTCATAAAGTCTAGGTAGATGTAAGTTCAATTAAAAGAACAATTACCATGAAAGTATTTATAGAAAAGGCACAGGGAAGCTACATTATGGCAAATGGAAAAGGACTAAAGAGCCAAGATGCCAATAACATTTGCAGATTTTTCTTTGGATTTTATCAAGAATCTCTAAATATATAACAGGAGCACCAGGCTGCATGTTGCAACAATATTCAAAGTAATATATATGAACTGAAAACCTCCTTGAAAATGATAAAATTCAATATTTTTTTTTTTTATTCTGACAAATGTCGTGGCATGAGGAAGAGCTAATGAATGTTAAACTACAAAAATTATTCATCACAAATATTTTTGCTATTTTTTTTACAAGCAGTCCAGTCAATTTAATTATTGTCCAGCTTACTAATGTTCAAATGATGCACAAAAAGTTTTAATAAAAAATCTGAAATTAAGATGAAAGAAATTCAAGTAAAAAATTAACAGTAGCCAGCAATGTTTCAAAATAATAACTATCAATGTTGTTTGTTGAGAGATCAACAAAACCAAAGACAAAAAATTGATAAATACATTCCAAAATGGAATGGATTTAGACTTCCTGAACATAACATGTGGTTAGAAAATAAAATTGGCAAACATGGACCTTCATGCCTGCAAACAAAACAATGTCAAGAGAACATTTTTCCCCCCATGACACTGCTTTTATTTTAACTATCTTCACTTTTCTTTTTCAATGTTTATTGTTTTAAAAAGTGATGATTTGAATTATAATAAAACATAATTATATGACGAAAGTGAATTTATACATTTTTTTGTTCTTGAGAATTTGCAACAAAAAATATTAAACACTATTTAGTTATTAGATTGTTTATTTACAAGAATAATTTTATATTTAGAACATTCTAAAAACTAACTGTATTAAAATCACTAACACAATGCAATATTTATCATTTACCAATTTTTAAAGAAATAATAAACATTTACTAAAATTATTAAAATATATGAACCAACTATAAGGAAATCTTTATTATTTAACATTTTATGAAGTTTGAATCAGTTGGTAATTAGTTGATGTTTTGCCAAACATTCCAATGAATAATACAATAAATAAATACTATAAATAAACAATCTAATAGTGTTTATTGTTTTTGTTGTAAATTCTCAAGGACAAAGACAATGTATAAATTCATTTTTATATGTGTGGGTTTTATTACAATTCTAATAATCCCTTTTTAAAACAATAAGTATTGATGAGGAGTGACGGTAGTTAAAAGGAGTGTCAAGGAAAAAACCTATCCTTTCAACCCTCTGTTTTTTTTGGGTTTTTTTGTTGCGAGCATGAAGGTCCATGTTTGTGAAAAAATTAAACAAATCATGCTTAATAAATTGCCAATCTTGACAACTAACCAGATATTTTAATGCAAAACAGCAATTAGTAGAGAAAATAACATCACATATAATGATATAAAGGGCCTATCAAAACTGTTCTCTTTTTATCAACCCAGTCACAATGTTTCTATTATTAGAAAAATCTAGGTTAGGCTAAAATTAGCACTATTCAAATCCTAGTAATTAATAGTGAGCAAACATAATGGTCATGTTATGAGTACATCTCAATTAGCTTCCCATAGATGAATGCTGACAGGAGATGAGAAAACATAGTAAACTATATCTATTTAGATTATTTTATTACAATACACTGGACCTAACTATTGAAATCTCATTGATTGAGTGAGAAATTACACTGATTTCAAACTTGAAAATTCATCAACAGTTTGGGCTTTATTTAAAAAATAAAGAAAATGAAAACTCTACCTATGAAATGAACTAACATTTTAGAATAAAAATCTAATATTTTGTTATTTCTATTAATAACAAAGTCATAGAATAAAGATTTTAAGAGAAATGTTCTACAACTTCAACTCTACATGTAAAATTTACTAACATTTTAGAACAGAATAACATTTTTAGAATATAAAATTTTAGGATAGAAGTCTAAGATGGTAATGGTAATATTAACTGTTTCCTTATAAGGAAACATTTGATATTCATTGACTGAGCAGACAATGCTGCTTTCAATTGAAATTCATAAAATCTTAAAACAATTTTTCAGGAAAATAGATTTTAAGTCCAGTTATTACAGTTGTTCTTTCTAATATTGATGGGAGTTTCTTTCCTTGCTTTTTATTTAAGGTAGTGTTGAATGTCAGTATCTGATTATATCATTATTTGCTTTTCAAGTTATGTATTGTCTATTTCAGTTTTGCTGTTTTTGAAAGTCTTCAAATGATATTGTTTCAGTACAATTCTTTGTTTCTGATATTTCTGTTTACAGTCAGTTCTCTTTCATCACAGATGAGTTATCCAATTTATTCATTCCATCTCTGAGGTATTCTTTCTCTAATATCATTGTCTCAATCCTTGCATTTTATGCCCTCCCCATTCATGAGCATGTGTCTTGTCTTGTTAGTTCTCTTATTTTTTATGCATATCTGCTGCTTTATCTGTGATATTAATTCTTTCTATTTCTGTACATTTTTCATTGAGACATTCCTCTTTAGCCCTCAGTTCCTTATTTCTTTAAGTAGTGCCTTATATTCTGTGTCATACATAGGTATTAAATTTACATACCAAT